ATATGTGATATGCATGTGAAAATGACAATTACTTTCTATAATCATCGTTTGAAAGCCGACCCTGGCACGGGTCGCTTATATCCCACTGCTTATATAGGGCCAGAATTCTGTCTTTCTTCGATTCCAGACCGATATAAAAAAAAAGTCGACAGCAACTCAGAATAATTCGGACTAAGAATTCCTATAACCAGTTGGCAATAGTGTGTTGGTATCAATCGACAGTCTGTTTTTACTTCGTAGATGTTGATATTCACTCAAATGCAGCTGATCAAGTAGTTGCTAAATTGATATTGCAGTTAAATGCAGATAGCCGCTATCGATGAGCTGACACCTCTGTCTCGATGCCCTCTGCCTCACACCTTCAATCACATTATAGGGCAAGATATGTTATAAATCTGAGGCAATAGCATCCCAGTAGTAGACCTGATATCGTTTGTCTGGTATTTACTGTATGTTTATTGTATGTACATGTGTTTGTTCATTGATACAAAGGGCACCCATCTGTCAAAAATCTGAACATGCAAGGCAGATATTTTCAGTTTAGGAAACGGTAACAAAATTCCAGTTACTTTTCTGGTGAAAAGGTTCTTTTCATGAACCAGGAATCATCAAAGATACGCTGTATTACACAAGAGAAATTCAGTAATTCTTTAATAGTTCCTTACATTTATACTCGTTTTCGTGTTCATGGTTAAACAATATGTACTTTTCTAAAACTGTAATTCATAATTAACTACGGTCACTTGTTTTCTCGAGGTATAACTGTCCTTAGAAATGTTAGAAATTATATTAAATTTTCAGTATAGTGATTGTTATGCTTTCTACGTCGGTCTGATTAAGATGATCAAAGATGTATTTTTTATCTTTTTTTTTCAAAATGCTGGCATCGTAATTCATGTACATAACATTAACTTCTGTAAAATCTCGCGGAGAGTAAAGAACATGAAGATTGCAGCAAGTCACTAGACTGACATTTGGGATGGTTTAACCACAAAAGTGACAACATTTGGGGTGTGATTGTGATCCATGATTACAGTAAAGTTATAAAAGAGGAATGTGTATTGGAGAACCAAAGAACAAACATGAAATTTCTGTTTATATGTTTATAGTGAGATAGTTATATTGTATAATGACTGTAACGAATGGTTATCTATTGAAGCGTCTTTTCTACGGAACAGTTTTGCCGCAGTGACGTATATAAACAGTCCTTACACATACCAGTACCATATCATATCGCATGAACCACCACTGCTATACAGCATTATCGGTGCTCGACCTTTCCTTCACACACTTCTGTACAATACAATGGCTACATGAACCTTTTTGTCTCTAATTTATTATATTGCACTTCCAAAGAAATTCGTTGAATACGTTATCTGTATACAGTATCACTGTTAACGACACTTAACGATACTGTCTGTATACTGTATCACTGTTAACGACACTGTCTGTATACTGTATCACTGTTAACGATACTGTCTGTATACAGTATCACTGTTAACGACACTGTCTGTATACTGTATCACTGTTAACGACACTGTCTGTATACAGTATCACTGTTAACGACACTGTCTGTATACAGTATCATTGTTAACGACACTGTCTGTATACTGTATCACTGTTAACGACACTGTCTGTATACTGTATCACTGTTAACGACACTGTCTGTATACAGTATCACTGTTAACGATACTGTCTGTATACAGTATCACTGTTAACGACACTGTCTGTATACAGTATCACTGTTAACGACACTGTCTGTATACTGTATCACTGTTAACGACACTGTCTGTATACAGTATCATTGTTAACGACACTGTCTGTATACAGTATCACTGTTAACGACACTGTCTGTATACAGTATCACTGTTAACGACACTGTCTGTATACTGTATCACTGTTAACGACATTGTATACTGTAGCACTGTTAACTACACTGTCTATATACAGTATCACTGTTAACGACACTGTCTGTATACTTTATCACTGTTAACGACACTGTCTTTATACAGTATCACTGTTAACGACACTGTCTGTATACTGTATCACTGTTAACGACACTGTCTGTATACTGTATCACTGTTAACGACACTGTCTGTATACTGTATCACTGTTAACGACACTGTATACTGTATCACTGTTAACGACACTGTCTGTATACTGTATCACTGTTAACGACACTGTATACTGTATCACTGTTAACGACACTGTCTGTATACAGTATCATTGTTAACTACACTGTATACAGTATCGCTGTTAACGCCACTGTCTGTATACTAAATCACTGTTAACGACAATGTCTGTATACTGTATCCGTGTTAACGACACTGTCTGTATACTGTATCACTGTTAAGGACATTGTCGGTATACTGTATTCGTGTTAACGACACTGTCTGTATACTGTATCCGTGTTGACGACACTGTATACTGTATCCGTGTTAACGACACTGTATACAGTATCACTGTTAACGACAATGTCTGTATACTGTATCACTGTTAACGACACTGTCTGTATACTGTATCACTGTTAACGACACTGTCTGTATACTGTATCATTGTTAGCGACACTGTCTGTATACTGTGTCCGTGTTAACGACACTGTATACTGTATCACTGTTAACGACACTATCTGTATACTGTATCCGTGTTAACGACACTGTATACTGTATCCGTGTTAACGACACTGTCTGTATACTGTATCCGTGTTAACGACACTGTATACTGTATCCGTGTTAACGACACTGTATACTGTATCCGTGTTAACGACACTGTATACTGTATCCGTGTTAACGACACTGTATACTGTATCCGTGTTAACGACACTGTATCCGTGTTAACGACACTGTATACTGTATCCGTGTTAACGACAATGTCTGTATACTGTATCCGTGTTAACGACACTGTATACTGTATCCGTGTTATCGACAATGTCTGTATACTGTATCCGTGTTAGCGACACTGTATACTGTATCCGTGTTAACGACACTGTATACTGTATCCGTGTTCACGACACTGTCTGTATACTGTATCCGTGTTAACGACACTGTATACTGTATCCGTGTTAACGACAATGTCTGTATACTGCATCCGTGTTAACGACACTGTATACTGTATCCGTGTTAACGACACTGTATACTGTATCCGTGTTAACGACACTGTATACTGTATCCGTGTTAACGACACGGTCTATCGGTATATAGTTTCATTGTTATGTATTTTTTTGTTTACCAATATGTTGACGATAAATCGGAACTTCATTATGTTTGTGTCTCAGTTGTTTGCTGACCCGGATATGTGTTAGCATCATCGTCTGTGTTCTAAACTTAGCAGTAACCACCAACACGAGAGTTTATTCACCATACGGCGCGTGTCTTCTCTGATACATCTCAGGAACATCGCTGTCGTGTAGTCGGATTCACTGTTGCTGGCACTACCAGTAATAGCACCTGAACGTCTAATACAGTATAATAAAGATGTCTATGTGATGTCATTCCAAGTTGATATGGTTATATTAGTTATCGTAATTGATCATTTACACTAATTAACCTGAATTGACATCCTGATGTAATATATTTTATATATGTTGTGTAAGTATGTTTGCCAGGATCATTATTATATATGCTTTGATGACACGGCATTTACTGTATCAGCGTTAATAATGCAGAAATGCCAGACAAATCCAATACATTAATATATCGAATAAATTATATCAATACCAGACAAGTGTATTCGATGTGGATGAATACATTAAGGAGACAATTTAGTCAAGTTTTATAGAATTTTTTTTCTTGTCAAGAAATCATTCACGGAATTGTAAATCTGTACTCATTTTTAAATTCATCATAAAGAATTTTTAAACATATAACCAACGCTTTATATGCAAATACAACGGCATTTTGACCTAACGGACATGCGCAACCCCGTCTCGAGAATGTCAACAAAGATGAATTCCAACTCGAAGCCGGAGCGACTAAAATAAGTTACAGGGTCTCACACCAAACGGAGAAAACGGCGAAAAATATAGAATCACTGTTGGACAAGAATATGAAAGATGAAAAGTTTTGTATGCAACGTATTTAGGTAAATCATAACCCCGAGAAAGATTTATATTACCGTGTCACAACTATGTAAGCAACTTTTGTTCCCGCCAGAGGGGGCTTCAGTTCGCGCTAAATGACGATTCTTGCTATATTTGGCACGGGCTTTCACAAAAGTCAAACTGACCACACCGGACATTGTCTACGTAGCAAAAAAACTTTTATATACGATTTTTTTCATCTTGAAATGTATATTTTTTATATTAATTGAATTAACAAGACGTTTGTTGTTTGTCCCTTTCAACAAATACTTATGACATAACCAGAAGATAATTAGAGTGTGGCGTTTCAATGACTTTACAGTCACGTTCATCAGACAACCGGCGTGGTGCGTACTAACAATGACGTACGTAGTGTACTATGTATTGTAGTCAATTCAGTTACACTTAGTTACGCCGCCTTTCGATGACTACTGTACATTGTTACCATCTGGTGTATTTTCGCTCCATAATTATCTGTTTACCATCTCATCACACTTTTTTTGCGACCTTAGTGTACACAGGATTATAACACAGCCGAAAACAATGGTCGATTTCATACAACCCCGTACACAACGTATGTCGGTGCTAGTACGCTCCACGCTATAATTGATGTTTATGAATACATTTTCTCCAAGCGAATACAACTGATGTGTATCAATACATTGACACCAAGAGAATATAATTGATATATGTCAATAGTTTGCATATACACGGTGAACCATTCCCCACATCAAGACGCTTTTCTTTTTCACTTTGTTAATGGTTCAATAGACACGATGAAGTAACAACTACGAAGATTGAACCTTCACCACTAGAAAGCAACAAGCAGAATCTATGTCACCTTTCACAGATACTTAAATTCCCTAGTCAATATTAACACTTTAATCTCGATTCTATTACCAATACCTTTCTCTGTTTTTAGTACCTGAACTACTTGGCGACAGATGTGCAGAGGACATCCACTGTAATGACATTCCAAATGCCAAATGTGGCAGCAACAACACGTGCATGTGCACGTACAAGTATAAAGATGCGGACGATAAGACAGCCTGTATTCCACGTAAGTCGCTCTACGTCTTAACTAGAATTACGCATTTACATCTGTAATAGTGTTGCCTGGTGATCATTTGTAGTTCTAATGTTAACTTTTCCACATAACATTAAACCTCTGCTACTTAATATAATCAGTATCGAAATTTCTCTTTATGTGACGCAATATTCTCTGAAACAGTGATTTGCAGAAATATAAGCACTTTTAGCAACGTGCATAATAGTTCGAGTGCGTGGGATTCAATCAAAAGCGATAATTGTTTTTACACGATATCACTCTGAAATGAATTTGGAATAACTGCTGCATCATGAACAAAATTACGGTAATTGAGTGATTTCAGGAAAATGATATATGATTATAATATAAGGACGCCCATACATGGCAGTCAAAATTATATAATTGCTTAGCTGTGCTCTGATGGGCGGTGATATTTGCATAAATTCGATACCTAAACAAATTATGAATTTATTCTAAACCGCATTAAAAAAAACTAATACGAAAAACATATCACAGATGATATGCTTGAACTTTCTAGTGCCACGCGTAGCCATTCCTAGGGTCAATGATCTCTGGTTAGGTCGCATTTGTAATCTTGACGACAAAGAGCCTTGTCCAAACTGGAACATCACCAATCAGCGATGTATGTCTGAAGACGGGAGAGTCAACACCAGATGTCGCTGTGTTGCGGGTTTCTCAAATGTTTACAACGAAGGAGAATGTCAAGGTAAACGATACATATGTTATGTGTCCTTGGTCTCCAAACGTCTACCTTGATGCTTACTTTGACAACAGGTAACAACCCGTCCCCAAATCAATGACCTAATTTCATAACCGACTAAACTAGGAAAGTACATCAAAAGTTTTGAAAGACTTCAACGAGGAAATAAAAATAAAGGAGATTTAGCATTAACATCATTCTGTTAAAACTGGAAATTGATTCACTGAGCCAAGCCTGCTTCAAATATGAATTTTAGGGGAGTGCCTTAAAAGCCGTGTCTGGTAATGCATTGACATATGGCTGACGTTACAAGTAAATCCAATATCCCTTAGACACTAAGGCTGCGGGGGAGGGAGGATGTTTGCTGTGTGTTTTGTTATTTTCCAACCGATGGCGCGCGCAGTGTTTGCTCCCAGGGTATTTCCTTCAGAATTCGAAAGTAACATTTTTCGTCTAAGGGACTTTAGAACAAAGGTTCTACCTACCTAATGTTAATTGCAGGTTCACTATGCCATATCTATATACGTCCATTCAACTTAACATGGTTAACCCTGTGATATTTAAAGTACAACAAAAGTTTTATTTATGTTTCTCTTCAGAAACGCAGACCTACTACATACGGGTAAACATATCACATGAGCTAGGATGTCCAAACAAGAAGACAATTGATGACAGCGAACGGTGCTACATATACCATCCTTTTCGGTATATCAAGCAATACAGAAATAAAAATACAGGGCCTTTCCGGCTACTCAAGCTAAGGTCACAGATTCTCGGGGTAAATTGTTACTTTATCTACGATTTACGTACTGATAATAAATAGCTTCGAACAGATGATAGTGTAGACATGTCAAATTTTGCAATATATTTTAGATAAACATCTAGTATTACCTATAACGTATCGGATTTGCGTTTTGCTTTTTAAATATATATTTAGAATTTAAAATACATCTAGTTACATTGTACTCGCTGTATACCAGACATAACCAGACGTTCACATAAACAACGTTAGCAAAGTTGCGACTTTGAAACGACGACAGATATTAAGAAATTGACAAATCAGAACAGCATTAAGGAAATGTTGTGCGAAATGAAGATAATATTACATGCTTTGGTAAGATTTCGTAGACATTGAACAGCAAGCTACCTGTCTGTCCTTACTATCCCTGCTGTCATATACCTGTTTATTCAGACTCTGGTCAGTAACCTGAATGTAATTCCTCTTACAGCTGGATGGTGCCTTCAATCAGAGTGATATATGGGACCGCTACGTGTCTAGTGAGGTCATCAACATGACAGAGACTGCATCTGGTTTCCAAATTAATGCGGTTCTTCAGATCATGGCCGACTACTACAATGTCATCAATGGCTCTGTATTAAGGACGCATCTTGCCAATCACTTGAAGAGGTGAGAGACATTATCCACGTGCTTACCTTTAAAAACAATATACCACTAGGTATTACACACTGATTATTTCAATATCTTCAGAATCATTTTTAGGCCAAAGTTGTTTTGTTGTTAAGCAGTTGTTTGGACAATATCAAAATTTTTCTATAATAATTCAAGTTTTAAGTTGACGACAGAAAAGCGTCATACGTATTACATTTAACTTATCATAGTAAGAAATTAATGCAAATAGCCATTGTAGCTCAAATTCATAATTGAAAATAAAGTATTGCATAAAATTGTTGTTGTAGTTTCAATTACTTAATAGTGCAATCATAGGGTATTACAACAGTTATGATTTTAGTGTGGAGTGGTGCAATGTGTTATCTTCTAAATGAATCAAAATACTATTAAAACTAAGATAAACCGTACATGTGTGGCTGGTTAGCGATGTAATTAGAAGAGAAAGGCATTTGGGAATGTTTTTGTGACCTTCCCTTTTTGTAAATAAGAAAGAATGGCATGTTTTCACAGAACATATTTACATCCTTAGTACGAAATCTATATGACCAACTCATCGCCAGCTGTTATATAAATGTGTGTATTGATAATGTTGATAATGCGAATGCATCTTTGTTTTACATTAATATCGGATTATATCATGTTCTGATGCCATATGTTTTAACTATCCAGATACAACGGAATATTAGGAACAAGTCAACTGCGCGTGTCCGAACCTTATCTGGACAGCATTTTAATTGATGGTAGGTATGAAATACACGAGAGTCTTACATTTCAATGTCATTATTTCAGGTATAGACAAACATATTTAACATGAAGTGAAAGATATCTCTTTCTTAATAAAGTACAAAGTCATCTACCTGTATGCCAATTTTTGATCTTTATCAACAGAAAAAAACGAGTCGGATACTACTTCATTACAATACTATCAATATCACCATTAATTGTTGTTTTCCTAATCAAAGAGCTGACCTGCAACAAATCTGACTCCTTGTCTATCGTGAACACATATGGTTGTTACAGATTTCGACGAATGTGAGGACTGGCAGGGTCGACTGAATGATTGTTCGCAGATGGCATGGTGTATCAATACCTACGGTAGTTTCATGTGTTCTTGCTATTATGAGTACGAGGACAATTCACTTGATCCGATTGGTCGTCCAGGAAGGGTTTGTGCAGGTAATGACTTACATATAGGGGGCCGTCTATATAGGATCTGCGAAGACGGCATATTATAATGACTTTATAGTGCCGCTCCTTTGTAATATTCAAGAAGAGCGTATGAGACTGTGATTGGTCAGTTTGTTTTCTCATGGAAGCAATCAAATTACTTCGCTTGTACCTTCGATTTCGCCATGACATATATATAATATGGGCGCAGTGAGCGAAAGTGATCGTAACCGCTGAAACATCGCAGATATCTTGTGCGGAAAATAATTTTTAACATTAGTAAAAAAGAGATATTTCATGAAAACACTATGCATGTTATGAATGATAGCATTTTAAAATTAGAGATGTTTCTACTATATTTGATCCTGATTCAAATACCCAAAAGGTGATTGAATCGGATTTGCAGGATGAGTTTGTATGTGTGAACTCTAACTATTTGGGGGAAATTTGAATATGTTCGAACTAACAACAAATGGAAGAATTTACTAGAACAAAATTTTCAACAGCTAGGATCCAACGACATAGACAGTATTGCACATATAAAATTTAATGACAGAAAAAGGTTTCACACAAATGATATTTAACAAAAGGATAGGTACCCAGGAAAGTTTTGAGCAAATACGAAATGATGAAGTACAGGTAATATCTAGCATTTAGAATGTTTATGTTAAGAGGAGGCCTAAAGACTAAAGGAGTTATACAAAATCAGCATCATGACCGAGAATTTGGATGCATTCAAATTGGACCCAGGCATTATAAAATAAAGTATATATCCATATAGACGACATCCGCCTTGATATATTAAGCAAAATATGTATGTCGACCAAAAAATCTTGAAATCGATTTGTTAAAGCAGGGAATGAAACGTATAAGAAATAATTCCGAATGATCAACAATATCAAGGGGAGCTAGTTAGAATCTGAAAGCCTTGTAAGAACGGCAAATCCTAAGCTATTTAGTAAAAAGAAATCTCATAAAAACAGTATCAAGTAAATACATGAAAATAAGGATTCCGTCCGAACTTATTAATATGTCTTATAATATAACGTTATTTTCGTCATATTAGACCAAGACAGTTTAATGTTAACTATTATAAGACATACAATCGATGTACGTGTAATTACTTGTATTGCCTGTTGTCATTAAGAGGAAAGTATTAATTCTCCGGAAGTGAAGTGAGGTAGCTATCATTGTGTTCAATATTTTAATTCTTTATATCGTTTCTATTACAGAACAAACAGAAACAACTACACAAAATACCAGGTACGTGCACCGTTGTTTGGACAAAAATACTTGTCGCTCATGTTTTTATTCACTTTAAATTCCAAACTTGACGACTATCACAAAGCTCATGATACTGAGATAGGTCTATGACATTAAACATTTTTGGAAGTATTTGTTATCATTGATATCAAAAATTATCAACACGTGTTAAATATCATGTAACTTTAAGTAGAAAACACTGTTTTGATTGGTTAATTCTGGATTTTATATGACTAGAATGCAACGATGACGTAAATGATATCATATGACTGTTTCTGATATCATGACAGCTGTGATAAACAAGTTGATAAATATACCAATAATCCATTCACTTTAGTATTGACAGCTGTATGCTGCAATTTGCTTCATTGTTTCGCACTATTTTATCGAACTCTAAATGTGTATTAAAGATGCTATTCACTGGCGTGTCTTATGTACGCTGATTCTGAAGCTATCGGAAGTTGCATTTCGCTTTAACTCTAGTTAAAATACTTCATTGACTTATATTGAAAATTCTCTGTAAACTACAATTTTTAAGAAATATTTCTCACATTACTTGTTGAATCAATATGAAGTAAATTAAAAGTTAAATTTAAAAGGAAAGATGCAAATCGCCATTGTAGTTACTTGACTCAGGAATGAAGTTTGTTATATCAAACGATTTATAATGATATGAAGAAGATATTATTTGGGAATGTGTAACTAACCTTGTGTTGTTGTTGCAGGTGTTCTGGCGGAACCTGTAAAACCAGATGGGAATGTGAGTTAGCATACGTAGTACGCTGAAATAGAGTTTACTTCTTCGATTCAAATTAGTAAAAAAATTACATACTTTGTGAAAATGTTATTTCTTAAATCTTGTTGTGTTTCGAAATAGTTACAAATAACGATGTCCAAATGAATTGTCGCCATTTTTCTCACTGTTAATTTACATTCATTTGATCTAACCAGTCAGTTGTTTACATCGAATGAATTTAAGAGGTCACTGTTTTTACATTACTTGTAACCAAGATAGTGTCGTATGCAAAATATGTCATTTACTAACGATACCAATACTTTCTCAATACAATTAAAACCATTGTTTCCTTATAATACGCCTTCGTAATCATCTGATCATATTTTGGATGCTATGTCAAGAAATCAACACTGTTATATTTCATATATAACAATATTTAAGATCAGAAAATTTTTACCCGGTAAAGTTTTCATTTTATTCTGTTGATGAGGTACTTTAAAAATTTGTTGTATTTCCCAACATGTAAGTGCTTATATTAAAAACAAACTACAAAAAGTCTATATTCATTTGAATCCACGCGCAGTGAAGAGACTCGTCTTCAAAAGCAAGAAATAATCATGAATGAACTTTCAATTCAAACTTCAATGATAAGTGATAGGAACCAAAAGATTTGCACTTAGACCAAATACGAAGAAAATAATACCTAACGTTCCCGAAAGGTAAATCGAATTCTACTTCATTACCGACATTCACCATGTAAATTTTGGTCAAGCCAAGGATGTCAATCCGAGTGAGTAAAATCATGATCTCAAATGACAGCATTTTTTTACAACTACACTGCCAGGTATATTAACAAGCATCAGACACTTTAAATCGAACAAATAAGTACATTTCAAATGAGATCAGGATTGTGACCATAGAACTGGCTGGCAATTTGTATTATCATCCCATCGAATGCAGAACGATATTGTCGGAATTACGATTGATGCATTTATGCTTGTAGCTTTCTAATAACCATGTACTTTCTAGATAAGAGTTACAGATCAGCCTACAATAGAACATTACATAGAGGAACACGTGCTATAATTTAACCATTCTGCTATACCAAATGCCGCGGTTTGATGTGAAGTGGTCACAACGCTTCTAATTATGTTGAATGGCTCATTTGTGGTTAATATTGACTGATGTCGATAAGGTAGAAGACGCTTACATTATCAATCAATGTTACTCTCCTTTCACTTGTAAAGTTGACGCAGAGTAAATATTTATTGTATCTATATAATACTTTTGTTTAATCGATTTTGAGTTTGAAATATTAAATCACAAAAAAAGCCGGGCTGGTTAATATAAATGTATAATTGACCTACTTTGGTAATCTAAGTGACCTGTTAAGTAAAAAAAATATATAATGGTGTCTTAAGTTCAGCATTTTTATCTTTTGCCTATTCCTCTTAATGTTGAATATGTTATAGATAAGTATGATATTTCACGAGGTAAATATTTTTTGTCATTTCAGGGGTAGGATTTGCTCTCGTCATGTTGTTTATTGTTCTGATATCATTCCTAGTATACGAGGTCTATATTCGCAAGAAGGAACTTCGTGAGCAAGAGTATGTATTATATGACATAAATGCATGGCAGAAAAAAAACAATTAATCATATGTCGTAGTAAAAAGTATTTAACACATATATCTGTGATTAATAATTATCATTATTTGTAATGTTATTTAATTTATATATTCGCCTCGGCGAGACAAAAAATAATCGTGTTTCAATTTATTCTTTTCTTAAATTTCTTAAATTCAGCGAGCGGCTAATGGGAAAAAACCAGAACCAGGGTTCTGATTTCTTATTCAATACCATTTATGATGCAAGTCATTACTTCTTGTTGATGATCGGCAGAGCAATGAGTAGAATTCCCGAATGAAGAGAATTTTGTTCTTGCATGAAACACGCCTTAATGATTCCATGTATAACATGACGTCAGATTAGAAATAAGATTTAACGATGTTATACAAAAACTATCGTTTTCAGAGACCCTGGTTATTCAAAACTCAAACGAGGACGATCTAGAAGAAGTCGCAGAAGTAGGCGAAGCAGACGACGCTCACGGAAATCTATTTATCGAAATAATAGAGATTCTGATGGTGGCAACAGCGACTGTACCATCACTATTGACCACGACTTATCAAATCAAGGTATATTAACTTAACTATACGAAGCATGGCGACAATGTTATAAGGGATGTAAATAGGAAGATTTTTTATGGTTGGAAATTTGCGTCCTCCTTTCCTTTACGAACATTGTAAGGTTTGCTTGATATTTCGATTGCAATGTAATGCTTTAGCATGGTCTCACATATATGGTAGTCTACTCGTTCATATTATGCTTATAAGGGTAAGTCTTTATCACATATTATTGTTCAACACTTAATTTCATAGAGAATCATGCATTGCACTCGGTTATAGGTTTTTATATGATGTATTGTGGTTATCTCTGATGATTTTTTTCTCACATTTCAGATGAGAGTCCACCGACATACGGAACGGATGATCCTTAATTAAAACAGATATATTCCAGCGAAATACCACATAACCATCTAAATTCCGTCATCATTGCTTATCGTTAGACAACAATACACGCACGACCGTAGTTCGAATGCTAATCGGCTACAACAAAGTACTTCATTAATTTTTAAAGAAGTACATTTTTTCTGAAGAAACGGGAGAACTACTGAACAAATACATTGTACGTGGGTATGAAAACAGGACTTAAGAGGCTGATGAGTGGTCTTCTAAAACATAAAGGTACTGCACAGAGATGTAACAGTCCTGGTATTTCATACGGATGTAAAGAGTCCGCTGGCAGCGTGCATACACAGCAATTTGATGCAACACTCCTGACATTCCGTTAGTTTGTTAGAGAATCTCCTTCGCATGGATAAAAAACTCAACACGACATCCCAGCAGGGATTTCGTGCGGCTCCGGAAGAGCTTTCTTAATTATAATACTTGCTCTACTTCCTGAGGCACACTTATATACAGCAACTTAATGTGACCTCCAGGACTCCTTAACAGCCGTGGGAGTGTTTCCTTGAACGCTCAGAGTGAATGTTTTGTAGATACATCAAAGATGACACATAGGGTACAGAAAAAAATGTGTATGACGTTATAAGGCTCTTAACTATTTCTACCGATAAAATGTTTGAAAAGTTTTCACGTCCTGAATTTCAACAATATTTGACGACACCCCTGAATCAACTCTACGATTTATGAAATATATATATTATACAACAACTGCGATTAACTTACATAAATGACTCTTGTTTGGCACGGGGATGTACTAAGGAAAGGAACCCGGGAAACCCCACGTTTGGACGGCTGACACTGTACTTTTCTTTCACGTCAACTCTGGGATTTGATGATACGTGTGAGAAACTTTCAATTGTAGGACGATAAAAGCGGCAAATATCTCTTTTTATATACATACTAATGTACTACCAAATTATATGGTACACAGAAACCAGGTGTTTTCAAGATTTTTATATTGTTAAAGACAAAATAGACTGGCACACGAACTACAATTAATTCTTCATATAACTTTTTATGTTCCCTGCGTTCGTCATTGATGTATCTTCACATCCGGTCGCTGCTTTAAATTAAGGAATGTCAGTAGTGAATATCTAGGTGTAGCTATGGATTTCTACCATGAAAGTAATATTTTTTCACATGTAAAATCCATTTGACGGTTTTATTTTTACATTTAGATTCGAAATGTTGAATGTGTTTGGTGTCTGAAGGTTCCAATATAGACAACTGATTAAAATAGTCTCTAGTATAAACTGGGGTAATTTGATTATTCAGACGTCGGACAAGGAGATAGCTATAAAAACTTCTGTTATGTCAAGTATTTGTGTTATGAGAGCGAGCACACATGCAGATGACTGAGTCAGGTATATTTGAAGTCAATAATACTGTATAATAAATATTCCATATATATTCATTTGAGAGAGGGAGAAAGGAGAGAGAGGGGAGGGGGTCTTTCCAAACTTGTATGAATCATTGTGTGATATTAAAATTTTCATCCTATTCTATTATGTATTATTTTTTGTACTTTCAGCAATCACATATTAAATTATAACAATGGTTCGAAAGGGGGAAAGATTATAATTTTTGAGAGGTGGAAAACAACAGCCGACATGAACACCCAGAAAATATTTATAGTGAAGGGTGTAGTTTACTACAAGAAGAAGTAAATCGTAAGGCGTCACTGAATGTGAACAGATGATTTGTTTTTCAACATAAATAAAACCTCATATTCTCTCAGCAGTTCGGAGTAGAAAAGAGAAGAGAACACAAGGAGCGGAGGAGACACTTGGATTGAATTAAAGATTATTCATCCTAAACCATAGGTGACAGGAGACTAGAACTGGTGTTATTGTATAGCGTCTGTTGTTTTCGCAAATTATTTGTAACACAAGTGACTAACGTCTGTTTGTCTCCACTAGCACAAAGCAGGTGTGACAACCGCCTCTATGTCAATGCAAAACCTTGACACGGTTGACCACCTTCAGTACCCTTCTACAAATACACTATACATGTGACAACTGTCTGTACGTCTCCACAAAAATATTTCCCAATCCGCAATCATATACACTAATATGCTCGATCATGAAAAGTTTCTAGACCCACTAATGTATGTATAGGTAGAATCACGAAATAAAATCTGGCGTTATTACAAGAAGATAAAAACAATAGTTTGAATGACTTAATTATGTGTATCCGAGTTTTGAAGTCTTCTTCATCCTGCAGGGATGGGAAAAAGAAAAAGGTGCCACAATACAATTCAGTCGCACCATCTACAGGAACGAAGAAAGAAAAATAAAGGCACGTAGCAGCTAAAGTATTGGCAAGTTTTGCCGATGAAATTTTACTTATTCCGGTTGCGATACATGCCAGTGTAGGTGTAACAATAAGGCCTCACGCAACAAATTTAACCATTATTCATTTAAGCGAATGGCATAGATACTCGAAGTTCAAAACAAGTAACATACAAACACTCCTAGTAAAGACTACAAATGGTGCCATTTAGTAAGTAAAATGCATTGCGGACTGCCATTGCCTTCAAAAGTCAACAACCGGAAGTATACATGTCAAACTAACCATCCAGCTGTAATATTAGATATTGGACTATGATTAGATGAAATAGAATCCTGATCGCTTATTGGCTGATTTAACTGCGTGAGTCCTTAAGGTAATACGATGTTCATTGCACATACTTGTTCATTTACAACTGCTATTCAGGTTACCTATCCAATATCATGTTCACTCGATTTTGTACATAATCTGAATCCCAAATGACACCGAACATTCACACATGAAACTAAACATGACAAGATGTGATAAAATGCTTATGATCACTGAAAATATGTTTGAACTAATTAAACGTTATTTCTAATTGGATTCATATACTTCAATGTCTCCCATAAAGGGTTATTTCAAAATCCGAATGATCTGTTTCATATTAATTAATGACCTGTGTGGTCGGAAAGCAATGTAGTTAGTCGTCAGAGTTGGTATGGATGGTCTTTATTCGTTGCTGTAAAGCCCGTCAACTTTTTCTTAAAATCCACCGTCCAAATTAGGGCCTCAACCTGTCAATTCGAAAACTGTTTCAGTATTATTTACACTAAGGCTTCGCCGAAACAGTAACTCGATAGAAACATTCATATCTGTTTAAAGTCAATATCAACAATCGGGCGCGTGGAATAGTACCACGTGTTGCGGTGTGTTTTTTTTTTAAACTATATTTGGTTATGTAGCTTCGGTTGTAAACACTATTGTAAGTCACCTCGAAAGGCGGTTATTACGACGAATACACATGTTATACTGAATCAAATTAATGTTTATTTTAAGCAAATAGTATATCAACATGCTTGTTTTGCTTTTGGGCCCCAATAGAAAATTAGTTGTGATTCATTGATCAATTTTTCTGAATCATTCATAATTGAAATGATAGAGGGTGTACGATAAGGCCTTGCCTTGTTAGAACATCACACACATTCATAATACGATATGTGTAACATTCTCACTCCTGATCTATTTGAATACATGATTTGATATGTAGAATTACAATGTTTAGCTGCAAACTTTCCCTCACTCAACTCCATACCCGTTGTTTTTGTTATGACTGTAAATGAAATTAATGTTCATATTAGGCACGCAGTATGTAAAAATAAGACTGAACGTAATAAAAATGGAACAGTGTCGAACTTGTTTTGATTTTGATACCTAAATATTAGATAAATTGTGAAAGGTTGATCAATGATTCTAAATAAATCGTAATCAAAACGTTATTTGTTACATCCTATGTATAATCTATGTTTATGCCATATGTACGTATAGTGATAGACATTTCCTTGCTAACCAGCATCGCACACATCTGACTTTGCACAAAGAAATATAATAATTTTCGATAAATCCATGACGTCTTCAAACTGCATCTCTTGAAACCCTTTTTTTGTACGTTGATCTGTCAGCCGTCGGCACACCTTTCACTGAAGTCGAGGTATTGGTGTCAAGCAATGAAACAAATAACGACACTTTTACATCGTAGATTGAGAAAGCAAAGATATTACTTCATAGAAATGGAAAAAAAAAATCTTAAATGGAAATCGAGATAATAACACGTATCACACGCCTAAGCATCAAAACTTCCAAGGTGTGTTTACCTGTTTTCATTAGCTGTCCAATTAACTTAGCCTTGAACCAAGAAGTAAACATATTGTCTTTTAGAAGATCTAACCACCAAATTTGCATAATTTAAATATTAATCAAAATTTTGATCAGTCTCATTATTCAAGACAATGTATTTCTTCTTAATTCACGAGTACTTAACCGCATAGATTAAGAGTGGTGCGTGTATGGTTGTGTATAGAAAAATCAAAAAGTTTTAATCAAATATGTTTCCCACGAGTGAATCTTTTGGGCAACAGGACTGTCATAGTAATTTAACTCCACTTCTGGAGTACAGGTATAGAGTATCATGGTAAGTCTGTGCCCTCATTACTAAATCGATGTATATACAGATTATAGTGAACTTCAGGAATCCAGTTTAGGACTATCCAGTATTCTGAAATATTGAAAGATTGAAGCATGGTTAGCTAGTAATTCGCCTTTGAAAACAAAGCACGTGTTAGCTTAGTTCTTTATTTGGTTTGCAAAAACATGTAAGAGTATACTGATAATTTAATAAGTATTTAAATGATAATCCTACTTATTATGTTAATGACTGTAGCGACCAAACGACAACTAATCTATGTAGACAAAATTAGGTGATCTGACCACATTGGGTCAATGTACAATTTTACATGTCGAAAGCATGCAATTTAATGTCTGCTTCATGTGTCTGCCATTACCAGAGTCAGATAATATGGGCGTTTGAAAGGTCGGTATTGCAAAACCTCTAAATGCCTCAGAAGTTTCAATATATGATTCAATGTGTCTGTGTATTGTGGAGGAAACACTCGATAAATTTACGATAACGAAGTGTATCTTGATAATAGATCTATATCTTCAAATGATGCAGAATTCAGTGTACATCTGTTTGTGGGAATATAATTGCTAAAGAATGAAACGTGTGTAATTGAAACATATCTAACACCTTACATTCATTTGTAAAATGAAATACAATCATTGAACGTTCAATAAATACAACCCGATATGCACATGTTGCCATTGCATAATCTATTATCCTATCATAAATGAATATATTTATCGGATGTCATGCTATTCGATGCTTCATACATAAGTAATTCAATATTTGGCCTATCGCCATAATTCTTAGTTTATTGAACATTTTATCATTGATCATATCATTTGAGTGATCAGGAATTGCCCGAGGTATAAATTTTTGTAACCTATGTATTGCGTTGAGATGTAGTATTACTCCAAATTGTACAATAATCAAAATAAAGTTGTTAATATAATCTATAGAAAACGATTAGAGTATCAAAATGAAGATACTTTGTTTTATTCTGTGCATAAGGTTTAAAAGTGAGTCAACGTATGACACTATCAAATTAAATATCATAATAAATCGTCTTAGATATAAAAGGTCTATACCACTATCAATGGGACAAGTATTGGTCCTTTTAGAACTCCACATTTCACGACTCATTATTTTAACATTAATGCAGATTTTTTTTTAAAATCTAGCATGAAAACAAGTACGGACAAACAGTAATGGATAATGTTTGAAAACAAGGACCCTTTATACAAGTAGTTTTGTGAACATTTGAATACGAAATGTTCATTTTCAGCAGATCTCAACAATTTATTAATGTTATTACTGTATATCTGTCAAGGTATTGTAATTGTTATATACACCGGGTTATATAAGAAAATAATAGAAAAATATATATATATACATGTATGTATATATATACTGTATAACCTGTTATTTCGCGGTTATATTTTCGATATATCAGAAGGCAGTAACATAGTTAGCATTACTATTCGACTCTCCTACAATGGGAGAATATTCGACAAGTACAATGATTTAATGAATTAAAAGGTACACGGTACAAATTATCTCGTACAGATTACTAATCTTCTACTTATAGATCATTACAGTGAATCAAATGGTATTTAAATGAGAAATCATGTATGAAACTTGACAACTGTAACAATATTATTATCATCTTCAACTATTCAGATTGCGGAATTAATTTTTTTAATTTAATTCTTTCATTTTAATTAAAAATCTCGAAAATTTTGACCCACAATGCCGTATAACGTTATAGAGACCATTTCAGGTAATCCTTGATTTTGCATCACGCCGTTATAGCTTTGTTGTCATTTATTATTAATCTAGGTTTCCTTTATAAATATGAACTTTTGAATTATAGGTAAGCTATGATGAATATGAAAACAAAGCATTGACCCGTGATACACCTGGTTTGTTTTATTTTTCAGTCAGTACATTAATACATTCAGCAGGTGAATGTCCGTTTTTTATGCTGGGCCAGTGTCACTAACATTGAAGGCACGTGTTTAGTGGTCGATCATTGACTTTCTTTGTTTGTTTATCAAG